ACAAGATGATCATAATCTGATACATATTCATGCAACAGGACAGGTCCACCGATGCCACGGGTATCTACGACTTGGAAACCAGGAACGCTCCTGAGGATGTCTCCACGTTTCTCAACAGAATCCCGACATGTGCTGCCCAAACAAAAGCGTATCAGTGAGAATATCAGGTTCTGCTCCAGCTGGTTCTGAAGATGCTTCAGGAATTTCGTCAGAGATTTACAATCGACTTAGCTTTAAGCAGCGATATTTTATGGACGTGGAAAGGGTTTTATCGCTTCTGTTGTAGATATTGCAGTGAGCCAGGACATATCATTTCTGAGTGGAGAAACTTCACTTTAAAACACAGTCATTCACCCCCCAATAGAGTACTTGTGAATGTGAAGTCCCAGCCTTGTTGTGGTTTACGTGATACAGAGTAAGACTTTGTCGACCAGATGCTTGATGGGCATTTTAGAAGTTGGATGGTAACATAACAACATATGATATGGATTTACAACTTCTTTATTATTTACAACACGACGTTTCTGGCCTACTTGTTGCCCCTTGATCAGGTAAATGACAGGATATGATTTGCAAGCATAATGTATAGTGCGTAGAGGAGACCATTGACATTATACTAAAGAAGATGTAAATCCATGCTGTTTGTTGTTATCTTTGTCGGCCAGTCATCAAAGATGTCTGTTGTAAGAGAGGAGTACTGATCTTTCGTGAGTAAGGGTTTTGTGTCAACTGAAGGTGACAGTGTTAAGTCCGTTACTGTTGTGATGGAATCTGGTGGCCTTCGCGCTCTGCCGTGTGGTGATATTTGACACTTGCGTCAAGTGCTTGTTGTTTGGTCATGTTGACCTGTGTGGGCTTTTCAGCATTTGTTTTGCAGAACGAACTTCTTTATGACTAAACGCCGTGGATTGTTGGTTTCACACAGTGTTAAACAATATATAGTATTCCCAGAAATTATTGAGAAGGTTGTTTCGGCAAATATATAATACACGTATATATCTATAGAAGTTTTACTTGAAATGAGATATGATTCTCTTACAGCCTAAGTGTCTTTTCAGTACTTTGTGAGACCTCCTTACCCTGCAATACACGACTGAATGCGCCCAGGTACACTACCGATCAAAGTTTGTAGGAAATCATGCGATAGCGTATCCCAATATTCGACCACTTTTTCCTTCATATCCTCAATATTTCTGAGCCCTTTTAGGTTAAATCTGTCCTTCATTAGTCTCCACACATTCTCAATAGGGTTTGTGCTGTAGCTGGGCCAGTCTAAAACTTGAACATTTTCGTCCGACAACCAATATAATGTGTAGCCCGCAGTGTGTTTTGGGTCGTTATCATGCTGGAAAATCCCATTATCTTCATACAGTGTTCGTGCCGTTGGAAGGAGGTGACCATGTAAGATGTCAACATATCGTTCCTTCGTCATATTCCCAGTGACAATACACAACGGCGTCACTCAACGTGATGATATTCCACTCGACATGTGTAATTTCGGGCTATGTTTTGTTGGGGCGTTGGTAGATAGGTTTCACGGTATCTCTTGTCCAAATTTTCACACAGTTTGGAAAAAACAGACAGAACGTTCAACACAAAGAAAACATTATCCCAATCTTGATTTTCGTTAGCCCCACATCAGTTTAAACGTCTTTCTTTTTTTTTACCTTTCATCAATAATGATGGAATTCCGCGCTTTTTCACCCAGTTTAGTCTTTGTAATTCTTGTCTAATGGTTCATTACATTTCCTAGGACCTCCTCTATTAATCGTCTCATTCCTGACATCCTCAACGCTTATCAATTGTCCGCTACTCACAATCTGACCACGTCGCCGGCGATCCGTAGTACTGAACTTCCTTGGCCTCCCTGTCCCTGTCTTGTGCTCAATCCCAACTCCTGACTGAATATTCTTCAAAGTTCTGTATAATATGGACAGAGGAATGTCATGTCTACTAGCTAACTCTTTTGCAATTAGTCACGCCCCTTTCAAACTCATCTAGAACCAGCCTTTTGTTCTCTTCTGCTGTCACACCTGCCATGTCAACAAAGGAAGCCGTCTGCTACACCAGGGGGAGATAACTCTTGATGTAATAAGGCTCATTCTTAAGACTACAAGAGTTGCCTACCATATTGAGTACCTTACTTCGTAATCTAACATCCATTTAAAAAATTCTATTAACAGTATTAGGAAACAAAGATGTTCAACTGTATATACCTGTGAAAACTGTATATACAATGTCATATAACAGACGTTATATGATGTCGGAGTATGCTTACGATATATGTAGTTTTGAAGTGGGCGTTGTTTCGGTATATATCGTTGTTGGAGTGAGACAGGTGGCTGTCACAGAACAGGTTTCCTCAAGATCTGTTTCCTCCTTTGTGCACTCGACCGACTACAATATCACGACTTTACCCACTCTGAAGTACACTCAACAGATTCCTCTTCTCTGTGGCCAAATTGTTTGCACATGTGTCAACAGCATGGTTTTATAATTGTAATGAGGGTTGGTAGGAGGCTGCTTGCAACATTTTGTGCTGTATGTAATCCGAGGGGAAGAAACTTATTGTGACAGATAGGAGTCACCTGGGATGGCCTACCGGTTCCCAGCTGTATAACGAGTCTTGGCAGCGACAACCATTGCTGTCGATGAGCTGTCACTTCTCCATCTCGTTCCTACAATTGATCAACCGTGTGAGGTTCTGTTCGTATTTGAAAAGGTCCTTCAATGGGAAATATTTTGGGACGTTTTTGTCTCTAATGTTACTAAAATCTAAAATCCAAAATACAGTCGAACCCAATGATTTGCTCTTGACATTCTGTAATTTTGACAGAATTTAAAGTAAACAACATGCAACGTTTTGCTTCGTTACTGGGTGTAAGGGATTTATTGCCCCACCCAGACATTTGTTTATATATACCAAGACCTCGTGAACCAATCACATTCCAACAATCTGACATAGAGACACGACGACAGGACAGATACCAGTGCGATCTGTTGTTGCTTTGTATCAGAACTGTATAACACGGCGTGGAATGGCAACAGATTGCCAGTTTATTCAACTGTTGACCGGAACAAGGAAAATAAAACAAGACTGAACAATTAACTTGAAATAATCTTCACCGTTGATATATCTTCAGATCATAACAACAAACACCAGATCTTCTCGATTCGATGGATATGTTGTCTTCAAACCAATAAGTATTAACAAGAAACATGATATTTCCATTTGTTTCAGTAAAACTCGGACACCATACTACATACTACGCTAGACGATAGGTTTATTGTTCTCCGAGCTTGTCTTCAAATAGCTGTCTTGTCACCACCATCCACCAATGCGTCTATTCATCTGAGGACGCAGACATGCCCGTCTCCTGCAGCCACTGGCGAAGCAGCACTTGGTGCCGGATGGACAGTCGTTGTCGGTGTTGCAGCGCCACAGGAAGAAGTCGCAGAGGAACCATAGCATGGGGAATCTTCGGGGGCATCTGGCCGGCCTCGTGGTGGTGGCAACGGGAACAGGAGTTGTAGGAACAGGGCCTAGGAGAAGAAGGAAGTTGTCGGTTAGCAACTCAACTTGACATGATACCACGTTATGGGGAATATGTATATCACAGTTATTCTGACACGATGCTTAAGAGCTAATAGTTCACGAAAGAGATAAAAGTCACCAGAATACTGGGTACTTTTCTCAACGTAATGTTGGAATGGTGGCTGTAATAAACACCTGGAACGTAATCGCTATATTTCTGGCTGGTTCCGGGGTGCAGGGGAACTTGAATCTTTACTTGGTACCTTGGAATAGAGGAATACGTATATCGACTTGCTATGAAGGTATATGGAAAGTATCGCAACTTAGTACTATGGTATAAGGGAAGACGTATGGAGGCTCGGTATGTTGTGAAGTGAAGGCCTATGGCGATTTGGTATTCGCGAACATCGACTTTCTCTTATGGTGTAGGGTAACCACTTATTCCGCTTACATGATATGGCGATGTAAATGAAAGCGGATCTGCACATCACATAACGGTTTGACCGTTAAATGATACTGTATGACCACAGTGTAATAATGATTGATCGCTATGTGATACTGAATGACCACAGTGTAATAATGATTGACCGTTAAATGATACCGTATGACCACAGTGTAATAATGATTGATTGCTATGTGATACTGTATGACCACAGTGTAATAATGATTGACCGTTAAATGATACTGTATGACCACAGTGTAAGAACGATTGACCGTTAAATGATACCGTATGACCACAGTGTAATAATGATTGACCGTTAGGTGATACTGTATGACCACAATGTAATAATGTTAGACCATTATGTGATACTGTATGACCACAATGTAATAATGTTAGACCATTATGTGATACTGTATAACCACAATGTAATAATGTTAGACCATTATGTGATACTGTATGACCACAATGTAATAATGTTAGACCATTATGTGATACTGTATGACCACAATGTAATAATGTTAGACCATTATGTGATACTGTATGACCACAATGTAATAATGTTAGACCATTCCCAACTGATACTGTATGGCCACTATGTACCTACCGACACACGTGACTATGGGGTCACACGGTGCACGGAAGCACTGCACTTGCTGCACCTGGCACTTCAAGCCTCTTGCACACCTCTGAAATGTGCAACACCATGAGTTAGATATTAATGACATCACAGTTAAGTTCAAATATGCCTTTCAAACCGATACTGCCCCGATGTTGTTGTTTTTTCTACATGTGCTTATCTTCCAAACTACTAAGTACAAGTGGATCGAAAACGTTCAGAAGTCATTGTCCTTATGTCAGTTATGTCCGAATACACTTTTGATAAGGCTGCAAACATAACCCATAACCCACCCACCCAGTCCCAGACATTTCTACCCTATTCTCTACTTCTACCCCTTCAGTTGCAGTCAAAAGTGCGAAAACTAACAAAAACAAAAGAAAATATGCAAATAATAGCTTGCTCACAATTCTCGCGCAAGGGTCGGAGGGCGGAGTCGGCACGGTTGCCACGGCAGCAGTAGGGATGGTGCAGACGCTGCCACAGCCGTTACTGCAACACTTCCTGTTGCCGTTACAGTCGAAGTCCGTCTCGCATTCCGTGATGCAGATCCCCGCACCAGTCACTCTTGGACACTCGCCAGACTTCCCTGTTAACGTAGTGTCTCCTGCAACACACCGGCACACTTCAGTGCTCAGTAACAAGGGTACGTGTATGTTGGCGCGTTTGTGTTCCTGTGCGTGTGCATTTGTGTGTGTGTGCGTGCGTGCGTGCGTGCGTGTGCGCGCGTAGGCGCGTTTTGAGTTCATGTACCGTTAAGTGACACTGTATGCCCACTATGTGATGCTGTATGGCCACTATGTAATGCTGTTTGACCATTACGTGACACTGTATGGCCACTATGTAATGCTGTTTGACCATTACGTGACACTGTATGGCCACTATGTAATGCTGTTTGACCATTATGACACTGTATGGCCACTATGTAATGATTACGTGACACTGTATGGTTTGACCATTATGTGATTCTATGGCCACTATGTAATGCTGTTTGACCATTACGTGACACTGTATGGCCACTATGTAATGCTGTTTGACCATTACGTGACACTGTATGGCCACTATGTAATGCTGTTTGACCATTATGTGATTCCGTATGGCCACTATGTAATGCTGTTTGACCATTATGATACTGATACTTACGTGACACTTACGTATGGCCACTATGTAATGCTGTTTGACCATTATGTGATACTGTATGGCCACTATGTAATGCTGTTTGACCATTATGTGATACTGTATGGCCACTATGTAATGCTGTTTGACCATTATGTGACACTGTATGGCCACTATGTAATGCTGTTTGACCATTATGTGATACTGTATGGCCACTATGTAATGCTGTTTGACCATTATGTGATACTGTATGGCCACTATGTAATGCCATGTTTGACCATTATGCTGTTTGACCATTACGTGACACTGTATGGCCACTATGTAATGCTGTTTGACCATTATGTGATACTGTATGACCACTATGTAATGCTGTTTGACCATTATGTGATACTGTATGGCCACTATGTAATGCTGTTTGACCATTATGTGACACTGTATGGCCACTATGTAATGCTGTTTGACCATTATGTGATACTGTATGGCCACTATGTAATGCTGTTTGACCATTATGTGATACTGTATGGCCACTATGTAATGCTGTTGACCATTATGTGATACTGTATGGCCACTATGTAATGCTGTTTGACCATTACGTGACACTGTATGGCCACTATGTAATGCTGTTTGACCATTATGTGATACTGTATGGCCACTATGTAATGCTGTTGACCATTATGTGACACTGTATAACCACTATGTAATGCTGTTTGACCATTATGTGACACTGTTTGGACACTATGTAATGCTGTTTGACCATTACGTGACACTGTATGGCCACTCAACATGACATGCTATGACATGATTGGGAATATACTAGTATACTGAACATCATTGAAAACGCACCAGTCTAAAATTATCCATATTTTCATCAAGATGGATTTCAGCATGACAATGATCAATGAATATAACTAACATGAAGTCGAAGGGCATGTCCAGTTGAAAAAAATGCTTTAGAAACAAATTCCTGTCCGCAGCATGACTCTTAATTCTAAAATGCATCAATATGCAGCCACGCCATGAAAAAAGCGCGAATTTCATTCTGAAATCATACTGACTGTGGCGTTAAAAGCAGGTGTATGAGAACCAATTCTCATTGCTTCACTAACGATTGTTAAACGAGGACAGAGATGCCGAGGTTAACACCTCACGAAAGAGAACGTGCACTATAGTTTGGCATGAAATGCACGTGGACCCGTTTTTTTGTAAATATCTCTTCATCCAATGATCCAATCGATCTCAAACTGTGCAAAGACAACCTAATCACATTGTAAATCAATGATTTTATGCATTTGTTTAGCATCATCTGAATAAGCTTTCATGATGACAGCTAGAAGTAGTCAATGTGAATGATCCAAACGGTCTATCACTGTGCAGTGCATAGGTAACTATCATGAACTGCACGTGCATTTACCTTTATGACCCAACACTGCCGCTGTTACAGGTCATTGGCTCCCTCCCTCTGCAAACATTCTGCGTTCTGCTGTTTATTTTGTTGACAGTTACATAGACAGATTCTTTAATACAAATGCATAAAATCGGTGATTTACAATGTGATTAGGTTGTCTGACAAAACATCCACTTGCACAGTTTGAGATCGATTGGGACATTGGATGAAGAGATATTTACAAATAACCGGGTCCACATGCATTTCATGCCAAACTATAGGCAAGATTCAGGTTGGCACCAGCAGCAGGACATTGCTCGACAACTTGGACTTGGCCACTCCACCATCGTTAGGCTTCATAGACGACATCAGTAGACAGGCAGCACCCGTGACCTTCAATGACCTTGGCAACAAGGTGTTACGACGCTTCATCAGGATCGCCATATTGACCTTGTCCATATCAGTGATTGAACACTGCCGACTGGCAGGACTGCTGCACTAGTTCAAGGTTGACGTGGGGGTTATCAGCGCTGACTCCATGCGACGCCGTCTACACGCTACAGGGCTCCATGCTCGACGTCCTTACGTTGGACCAATTCTGACTGACAGACACCGTAATGAGCGTATACAATGGGCTAGCAGGCATTGTCAGTAAAGGTTACAACAATGGCATGGTGTCGTAGTCACTGACGAGTCTTCATCTACGTAATGCTGACGGCCGATTACGTATTTGGCGTAGACGTGGTGAACGTTATGCTAATGAGTGTGTGGTTTAGACAGACCTTGGTCATGGTGGGAGTAGTCATGGACTCTGGGGTGAGAATAAATTCTTCTGAACAATCGTATCTGTCTTCAGTCACAGGACTGCCTTCATGTCTGTCAAGGGTGAGTTAATGCCCTTTATTACCGTAAGCAGATTCTTCCGAATCACATCGTATCTGTCTTCAGTAAAAGACTTTCGCGGCGACAACAAATGCGAAGAACTATGTCCACTGGCTACCTTGGGTTAAGGGAATACATATCACCAGTTAATACCTCGTCGGAACGTCAGATAGCGATGTGAAGGGACAAGGATATGCACTGTAGAGCAACGTCAGCTACTGATATGACGGGGAACTACATTCCATTACTTACTGTCAGGAACGTCAGGTACCGATATGACGGGGAAAGGATCTACATTCCATTACTTACTGCATTGTAGAGGAACGTCAGGTACCGATATGACGGGGAAAGGATCTACATTCCATTACTTACTGCATTGTAGAGGAACGTCAGGTACCGATATGACGGGGAAAGGATCTACATTCCATTACTTACTGCATTGTAGAGGAACGTCAGGTACCGATATGACGGGGAAAGGATCTACATTCCATTACTTACTGCATTGTAGAGCAACGTCAGGTACCGATATGACGGGGAAAGGATCTGCACTCCATTACTTACTGCATTGTAGAGGTCAGGTACGATATGACGGGGAAGGTCTGCATTGATTGTATGACGAAGGATCTTACACTCCATTACTTACTGCATTGTAGAGGAACGTCAGGTACCGATATGACGGGGAAGGGATCTGCACTCCATTACTTACTGCATTGTAGAGCAACGTCAGGTATTGATATGACGGGGAAGGGATCTGCACTCCATTACTTACTGCATTGTAGAGGAACGTCAGGTACCGATATGACGGGGAAAGGATCTGCACTCCATTAGGAGAAAGGGGGAGGAGGGGAGAGTAAGGGTCACTTACGGACACAGACAGCTTCACGCCGGCAAGGGGGTTCCTCGCAACTGACCTCTCGGTTCTCACAGTGGTAGCCTGCCGAACACCGCGCCGCCTACAGACAGAACAACACAGGTCACAGTTCATCTGACCAGGTCAACACCAGAGATTTCTGGGTATATACGGCGTGATTACCAGCCTCCGTATTAACAGAGCATTATACATTCCAGATGTGAAATCTGTGCCAACAACAAGGTTGATTGTACTAATACGACATTATCAGCAATGTGGTGAGCAAACACATGCAAGGGCAAGCCAATTGTTCTCCTGAGAATATATGGCTCAAACCCAAAACAGGAAATTGCGTGGGACAAAATTTTCGTCAATGATTCGACAATACTGGACATGACCTCTACATGTCTACCAAAACACATTTAAAAAAACAACGATCATATGGCGCGTTGTAAAATGTAAAGCCACCAAAGGCTGAAGCAGTAGATATATTGCTCCACATACACCCTGGCATACTCACTATACAAGGGTTGGCCAGGATTGCGTCTGAAATAGGATAGACACAATAACTATTCCATTTACAAATAACAATCAACATCTTCCTTCATCAACTCGAGTTGATTTACCAAATCTTTTCCCTCATCATTTACACACCTCAATCCTCTCTTTGCTAAGGGTGTCTGCATGGGTGATCCTCTCTGTCACATCAACCATCTACATGTAACTGATGTACTACCAGGTTGGAGGAAACTGTATGCCGCATATCAAACACGAGTAACAATGTTTTTGTATGATTCTCTTTTCGACCATTGCCATTGGCATTAACCATACATTTGTGGCTGTAATCACATTAATATATACATAATACATCGTGATATCGTGATGTCCGTACTACACAGTGACGTGTACAAATATTACCACTTTACATTGTAGCATACACTTCTAGTGAGAGAGCTTAGTTAAACCAGCGTGCGATCCCGTTAGACAAACAACTCCGTTAGATGTCTGCATCGTTTTGTTCCAGTTACCTTCACAAATTGCTTCGCGTGGACATGGCGCTCTGAAGCAGACGACTTCCTGCACCCTACACACCTGGTTCAGGCCACACGTCTGGAACATAGTGAACAAATCTCAGTCTGTCCCGACTGCACGTCTGTGTTCAGTTACACGCCTTCTATGTGACCTATCTTCAGTCAGTGAATTTAACTATTATTTTATATGCAAAATCAACCTACTTTATTTTGACATGGGTCCAGTAGGACAGGGTTCTGGCAGGTGTGTCCACACCCATTGCTACAACACTTCTGACTTCCGGGACAACTTGAGTCGGTACTGCAACGTTCCACACATGTGCCGACCACACCCTCGGTGCTGGGACACGACCCGTCCTTGTCAATCTCTGGCAACAAGGCTTGACATATTACTGGTCATACATCTGATGATAGCAGCTTAACACATACAGGTACAACAATCAGGTGGCCATGCATACACATATTACTGGTCATACATCTGATGATAGCAGCTTAACACATACAGGTACAACAATCGGGTGGCCCTGCATACACATATTACTGGTCATACATCTGATGATAGCAGCTTAACACATACAGGTACAACAATCAGGTGGCCATGCATACACATATTACTGGTCATACATCTGATGATAGCAGCGCAACACATATGGGAACAACAATCAGGTGGCCATGCATACACATATTACTTGTCATACATCTGATGATAGCAGTGTAACATATACATGTACAACAATCCGGTGGCCATGCAAAGACACATTACTGGTCATACATCTGATGATAGCAGTGTAACACATACAGGTACAACAATCAGGTGGCCATGCAAACACACATTACTGGTCATACATCTGATGATGGCAGTGTGAACACATATAGGAACAACAATCAGGTGGCCATGCATACACATATTACTGGTCATACATCTGATGATAGCAGCTGAACACATAAAAGGACAACAATCAGGTGGCCATGCATACGCACATTACTGGTCATACATCTGATGATAGCAGTGTAACACATACAGGTACACCAATCAGGTGGCCATGCATACACACATTACTGGTCATACATCTGATGATAGCAGCTTAACACATACAGGTATAACAATCAGGTGGCCATGCATACACATATTACCAGTCATACATCTGATGATAGCAGCTTAACACATAACGGTAGAACAATCAGGTGGCCATGCATACACATATTACTGGTCATAAATCTGATGATAGCAGTGTAACACATATAGGTACAACAATCAGGTGGCCATGCATGCAGTACGTTACACCCCAGAACACCCAGAACAGAACTACGTCTCCTGTAGATCTCACAATAACGTTACAGGAAGGCTGTGCTTGAATTTGCATATATATATATGTGTGTCAGTGGTTAAAACACTTCAGTGATCTGATACTTTATGACGATTTTGTACAGTAACTATGTGATACTAAACAGCTACTTCGTGACACTGTATGACACATTTCTGATGCAGTGTGACAATGTGTGACAATTACGTGATTACGCCCCAAAAGTGATACTGTCTGAAACTATGTGACATGTGTGACACCTATTCGATATGTGTGACAACTACTTGATACTGTGTGACAACTACTTGAGACTGTGTGACAACTACTTGATACTGTGTGACAACTACTTGATACTGTGTGACACCTATTTGATACTGTGTGACAACCACTTGTTACTTTATTACAAACACGTGATACTTTGTGACAACTACTTCATAATATGTTACAACTGTGTGTGTTTTGTTGTTTTTGTATGTGTATTATGTTGTTTGTATGTGTATTTGTGTGTATGTGTGACTATATTTTGTTTGTATTTGTGTGTATGTGTGTGTTATGGTGGACGGGTCAGTGACATATGAAATGTCACGACCATTTTCCATGATGGTCCCAGGTAAAGCGGGACTCGACCTGATGGAACGTGATAGAGAAATGATTATCGACTTGGTATTGCGGTGTGGGGGAAGAACTATGTCCACTGGCTACCTTGGGTTAAAGGAATATATATCACCAGTTAATACCTCGTCGGAACGTCAGATAGCGATGTGAAGGGACAAGGATCTGAACTGTAGAGGAACGTCAGGTACTGATATGACGGGGAAAGGATCTGCATTCCATTACTGCTGCATTGTAGAGGAACGTCAGGTACCGATATGACGGGGGAAAGGATCTGCATTCCATTACTTACTTCACTGTAGAGGAACGTCAGGTACCGATATGACGGGAAAAGGATCTGCATTCCATATACTAACTGCATTGTAGAGGAACGTCAGGTACCGATATGACGGGGAAAGGATCTGCATTCCATTACTTACTGCATTGTAGAGGAACGTCAGGTACCGATATGACGGGGAAAGGATCTGCATTCCATTACTAACTGCACTGTAGAGGAACGTCAGGTACCGATATGACGGGGAAAAGATCTGCATTCCATTAGGAGAAAGGGGGAGGAAGGGAGAGTTAGGGTTACTTACGGACACAGACAGCTTCACGCCGGCAAGGGGGTTCCTCGCAACTGACCTCTCGGTTCTCACAGTGGTAGCCTTTCGCACACCGCGCCGCCTACAGACAGAACAACACAGGTCACAGTTCATCTGACCAGGTCAACACCAGAGATTTCTGGGTATATATGGCATGATTACCAGCCTCCGTATTAACAGAGCATTATACATTCCAGATGTGAAATCTATGCCAACAACAAGGTTGATTGTACTAATACGACATTGTCAGCAATGTGGTGAGCAAACACATGCAAGGGCAAGCCAATTGTTCTCCTGAGAATATATGGCTCAAACCCAAAACAGGAAATTGCGTGGGACAAAATTTTCGTCAATGATTCGACAATACTGGACATGACCTCTACATGTCTACCAAAACACCTTTCAAAAAGCAACGATCATATGGCGCGTTTGGGTGTCATGGAAGGAAGAATATTCTCACTTGAACCTCAAGCGTTGTAAAATGTAAAGTCACCAAAGGCTGAAGCAGTAGATATATTGCTCCACATACACCCTGGCATACTCACTATACAAGGGTTGGCCAGGATTGCGTCTGAAATAGGATAGACACAATAACTATTCCATTTACAAATAACAATCAACATCTTCCTTCATCAACTCGAGTTGATTTACCAAATCTTTTCCCTCATCATTTACACACCTCAATCCTCTCTTTGCTAAGGGTGTCTGCACGGGTGATCCTCTCTGTCACATCAACCATCTACAGGTAACTGATGTACTACCAGGTTGGAGGAAACTGTATGCCGCATATCAAACACGAGTAACAATGTTTTTGTATGATTCTCTTTTCGACCATTGCCATTAACAGTGTTGTAAATTCCCAAAAATTTCAGCCAGACAACTGGTCTGGTAACTCTCAAAAAGTTACCAGACCGGCTGGAAAGTTGCCAGTCCAGAATTTTATGGATTAAGAAAAATAAAAAGAAGTTTACTAATAAGAGGAGGGCACTGTTTAATATCAGGTTATTGTCACAATAACACGTTTTCAAATGTTTTTCAGTCGAGGCTTTAGTCATTATATACATTACAAAATTACACTGATTTTACAGCCAGACCATCGGGCGTGCAACTTTGTAAAAACTGACCGTCCGGTCGCAAAACAGACCGTCCCGGACGGTCGGGCAGGTGGGAGTTTGCAACGCTGCCATTAACCATACATTTGTGGCTGTAATCACATTAATATATACATAATACATCGTGATATCGTGATGTCCGTACTACACAGTGACGTGTACAAATATTACCACTTTACATTGTAGCATACACTTCTAGTGAGAGAGCTTAGTTAAACCAGCGTGCGATCCCGTTAGACAAACAACTCCGTTAGATGTCTGCATCGTTTTGTTCCAGTTACCTTCACAAATTGCTTCGCGTGGACATGGCGCTCTGAAGCAGACGACTTCCTGCACCCTACACACCTGGTTCAGGCCACACGTCTGGAACATAGTGAACAAATCTCAGTCTGTCCCGACTGCACGTCTGTGTTCAGTTACACGCCTTCTATGTGACCTATCTTCATTCAGTGAATTTAACTATTATTTTATATGCAAAATCAACCTACTTTATTTTGACATGGGTCCAGTAGGACAGGGTTCTGGCAGGTGTGTCCACACCCATTGCTACAACACTTCTGACTTCCGGGACAACTTGAGTCGGTACTGCAACGTTCCACACATGTGCCGACCACACCCTCGGTGCTGGGACACGACCCGTCCTTGTCAATCTCTGGCAACAAGGCTTGACATATTACTGGTCATACATCTGATGATAGCAGCTTAACACATACAGGTACAACAATCAGGTGGCCCTGCATACACATATTACTGGTCATACATCTGATGATAGCAGTGTAACAAATACAGGTACAACAATCAGGTGACCATGCATACACATATTACTGGTCATACATCTGATGAAAACAGCTTAACACGTACAGGTGGCCATGCATACACACATTACTGGTCATACATCTGATGTTAGCAGCTTAACACATACAGGTAAAAAAATCAGGTTGCCCTGCATACACATATTACTGGTCATACATCTGATGATGGCAGTGTAACACATATAGGAACAACAATCAGGTTGGCCATGCATACACATATTACTGGTAAAACATCTGATGATAGCAGCTTAACACATACAGGTACAACAATCAGGTGGCCATGCATACACATATTACTGGTCATACATCTGATGATAGCAGCTAAACATATAAAGGTAAAATAATCAGGTGGCCATGCATACACACATTACTGGTCATACATCTGATGAGAGCAGTGTAAAACATACAGGAACAACAATCAGGTGGCCATGCATACACACATTACCGATCATACATCTGATGATAGCAGTGTTACACATATAGGTACAACAATCAGGTGGCCATGCATACACACATTACTGGTCATACATCTGATGATAGCAGCTTAACACATACAGGAAGAAAAATCTGGAGGAACATGCATACACATATCACTGGTCATACATCTGATGATAGCAGTCACGTTACATATACATACATCTGATGATAGCAACAATCACGTGGTGACCATACATACACACATTACTGGTCATACATCTGATGATAGCAGTGTTACACATACAGGTACAACAATCACATGGCCATGCATACACATATATACTGGTCATACATCTGATGATAACAGCATCTGAACACATACAGGTACAACAATCAGGTTGCCATGCATACACACATTACTGGTCATACATCTGATGATAGCAGTGTAACACATACAGGAACAACAATCAGGTTGCCATGCATACACACATTACTGGTCATACATCTGATGATAGCAGCTTAACACATACAGGTACAACAATCAGGTGGCCATGCATACACATATTACTGGTCATACATCTGATGATAGCAGCTTAACACATACAGGAACAAAAATCAGGTGGCCATGCATACACACATTACTGGTCATACATCTAATGTTAGCAGCATTATACACATACAGGTACAACAATCAGGTGGCCATTACACATTACTGGTAAATGCATACACATATTACTTACTGGTCATACATCTGATGATAGCAGTGTGACACATACAGGTACAACACAGGTGGCCATGCATACACATATTACTGGTCATACATCTGATGAAAGCAGCTTAACAGATACAGGAACAACAATCACGTTTCTATGCATACACATATCACTGGTTATACATCTGATGATAGCAGCTTAACACATACAGGAACAACAATCAGGTTTCTATGCATTCGCATATCACTGGTCATACATCTGATGATAGCAGTGTTACACATACAGGTACAACAATTACGTTGCCATGCATACACACATTACTGGTCATACATCTGATGATAGCAGTATGACACATACAGATACAACAATCAGGTGGCCATGCATACACACATTACTGGTCATACATCTGATGATAGCAGCTAAACATATATAGGTACAACAATCAGGTGGCCATGCATACACATATTACTGGTCATACATCTGATGATAGCAGTGTAAACACATATAGGAACAACAATCAGGTGGCCATGCATACACACATTACTGGTCATACATCTGATGATAGCAGTGTAACACATACAGGAACAACAATCAGGTGGCCATGCATTCACCCATTACTGGTCATACATCTGATGATAGCACTGTTACACATATAGGTACAACAATCAGTTGGTCCATGCATACACATCACTGGTCATACATCTGATGATAGCAGCTTATCAAATACAGGAACAACAATCAGGTGGCCATTCATACACACATTACTGGTCATACATCTGATGATAGCAGCTTAACAAATACAGGAACAACAATCAGGTGGCCATGCATATACACATTACTGGTCATATATCTGATGATAGCACCTTAACACATACAGGTTACAACAATCTGGTGGCCATGCATACACACATTACTGGTCATACATCTGATGATAGCACCTTAACACATACAGGAACAACAATCAGGTGGCCATGCATACACACATTACTGGTCATACATCTGATGATAGCACCTTAACACATACAGGAACAACAATCAGGTGGCCATGCATATACATGCTATTACTGGTCATACATCTGATGATAGCAGTGTAACACATACAGGTACAACAATCAGGGGCCATGCATACATATATTACAAATCATACATCTGATGATATCAGCTTAACACATACAGGAGCAACAATCAGGTGGCCATGCTTACACATATCACTGGTCATACATCTGATGATAGCACCTTAAGAGATACAGGAACAACAGTCACGTGGCCATGCATACACATATCACTGGTCATACATCTGATGATAGCAGTATAACACATACAGGTACAACAATCAGGTGGCCATGCATACACATATTACTGGTCATACATCTGATGAAAGCAGCTTAACAGATACATTAACAACAGTCACGTTTCTATGCATACACATATCACTGGTTATACATCTGATGATAGCAGCTTAACACATACAGGAACAACAATCAGGTTTCTATGCATTCGCATATCACTGGTCATACATCTGATGATAGCAGTGTTACACATACAGGTACAACAATTACGTTGCCATGCATACACACATTACTGGTCTTACATCTGATGATAGCAGTATGACACATACAGGAACAACAATCAGGTGGCCATGCATACACACATTACTGGTCATACATCTGATGATAGCAGTGTTACACATACAGGTACAACAATCACGTGGCCATGCATACACACATAACTGGTCATACATCTGATGATAGCAGCTTAACACATATAGGTACAACAATCAGGTGGCCATGCATACACATATTACTGGTCATACATCTGATGATAGCAGCTAAACACATATAGGAACAACAATCAGGTGGCCATGCATACACACATTATTGGTCATACATCTGATGAGAGCAGTGTAAAACATACATGAACAACAATCAGGTGGCCATGCATTCACCCATTACCAGTCATACATCTGATGATAGCAGTGTTACACATATAGGTACAACAATCAGTTGGCCATGCATACACACATCACTGGTCATACATCTGATGATAGCAGCTTATCACATACAGGAACAACAATCAGGTGGCCATGCATACACATATTACTGGTCATACATCTGATGATAGCAGCTTATCAAATACAGGAACAACAATCAGGTGGCCATGCATATACACATTACTGGTCATACATCTGATGATAGCACCTTAACACATACAGGTACAACAATCAGGTGGCCATGCATACACACATTACTGGTCATACATCTGATGATAGCAGTGTAACACATACAGGTACAACAATCAGGTGGCCATGCATACACACATTACTGGTCATACATCTGATGATAGCAGTGTTAACACATACAGGAACAACAATCAGGTGGCCATGCTTACACATATTACTGGTCATACATCTGATGATAGCACCTTAACACATACAGGAACAACAATCAGGTGGCCATGCATACACACATTACTGGTCATACATCTGATGAAAGCAGCTTAACAGATACAGGAACAACAGTCACGTGGCCATGCATACACATATCACTGGTTATACATCTGATGATAGCAGTGTTACACATACAGGTACAACAATCAGGTGGCCATGCATACACATATTACTGGTCATACATCTGATGATAGCAGTATAACACATAAAGGTACAACAATCAGGTGGCCATGCATACACATATTACTGGTCATACATCTGATGATAGCAGCTTAACAGATACAGGAACAACAGTCACGTGGCCATGCATACACATATCACTGGTTATACATCTGATGATAGCAGTGTTACACATACAGGTACAACAATCAGGTGGCCATGCATACACATATTACTGGTCATACATCTGATGATCTGAGCTTAACAGATACAGTAACAACAATCACGTGGCCATGCATACACATATTACTGATTATACATCTGATGATAGCAGTATAACACATACAGGTACAACAATCAGGTGGCCATGCATACATATTACTGGTCATACATCTGATGATAGCAGCTTAACATATACAGCTACACAACAATCAGGTGGCCATGCATACACACATATTACTGGTCATACATCTGATGATAGCAGTGTAACACATACAGGTACAACAATCAGGTGGCCATGCATACACATATTACTGGTCATACATCTGATGATAGCAGCTTAACACATATAGGTACAACAATCAGGTGGCCATGCATACACATATTACTGGTCATACATCTGATGATAGCAGCTAAACACATATAGGTACAACAATCAGGTGGCCATGCATACACATATACTGGTCATACATCTGATGATAGCAGTGTAACACATACAGGTACAACAATCAGGTGGCCATGAATACACATTTCACCGGTCATACATCTGATGATAGCAGCTTAACACATATAGGTACAACAATCAGGTGGCCATGCATACACACATTACTGGTCATACATCTGATGATAGCAGCTTAACACATACAGGTACAACAATCAGGTGGCCATGCATACACATATTACTGGTCATACATCTGATGATAGCAGCTTAACACATATAGGTACAACAATCAGGTGGCCATGCATGCTGTACGTGACACCCCAGAACACCCAGAACAGAACAACGTCTCCTGTAGATCTCGCAATAACGTTACAAGAAGGCTGTGCTTGAATTCGCATGTATATATATGTGTCAGTTGTTAAAACACTTCAGTGATCTGATACTTTATGACGATTTTGTACAGTAACTATGTGATACTAAACAGCTACTTCGTGACACTGTATGACACATTTCTGATGCAGTGTGACAATGTGTGACAATTACGTGATTACGCCCAAAAAGTGATACTGTCTGAAACTCTGAAACTATGTGATATGTGTGACACCTATTTGATGCTGTGTGACAACTACTTGATACTGTGTGACACCTACTTGATACTGTGTGACACCTATTTGATACTGTGTGACAACCACTTGTTACTTTCTTACAAACACGTGAGACAACTACTTCATACTATGTGACAACTATGTGTGTTTTGTTGTTCTTGTATGTGTATTACGTTGTTTGTATGGGTATTTATGTGTATGTGTGACTATATTTTGTTTGTATTTGTGTGTATGTGTGTGTTATGGTGGACGGGCCAGTGACATGGTAGGTCCCAACTTGGAATCACCCAGCCCTCGCTGTAGCTCCTCCCTCCGTCGTGTGACTCTTCCTTGAATACCCTCTTCCGTCTTACGCTCTATGCATGTGCACGTGCGTGTGCGTGTGTGTGTGTGTGTTGGACTTGGAGGATGGAAGGCTACTTACGGACACAGACAGCTTCACGTCGACAAGGGGGTTCCTCGCAACTGACCTCTCGGTTCTCACAGTAGTGGCCTTGCAAACACAGCGCCGCCTACAGACATAACAACACAGGTCACAGTTCATCTGCACACGTCAGAGTAGAGGTGTTTGTGTACACAGCACACGAGATTCCTAGCTCTCGTGTCAACAGATCATTCTATACCTGTAGTATCAAGAAGCAGTGTTGTTAGTTGTCGAACTAAACGCAACAAAACCTTGCCAAAAAAGCATGAGGGAGGTGAATGTATGCTGCCCCACCGGTGACCTCTGACAAAATACATGATAAATCAAGGCAATTGTTCACCTAAATGAGCACGCGAACATATGGTTAAAGTCAAATAAGAGCAACAGTCGCGTGGCACTCTCTGAAGTCTGGGCAGAAATAACTACCTCCATTGTACGTCAAAGCTGAAATGTTTAACCAATACAGGAGCAGCAAGACTATATCTCGGCATCAAGCATGGCATATACTCACTATACAGGGGTTGGTCAACACGGGGGAGGTGGCTGAAACAGGAACGATAACTACATCATTCAGGTTACAACCAACATCTTCAACATGAGCTGATCGACGAAAACATGTTGTGCTCTTCATTCACACACCACAACCCAGCCCCGGTACAAACAGTCTGTACAGGCCAGACGGACATACAGTGGGTAACCACAAAGATACCCAACTGCCCACCTGGATTTAAAGCAATGATATATTAGAGATAAACAATAACAATAGTGAGGGTAAACCGCAAACCGAAAATAGTAATACGCCACACCACAAAGGGGCATGCTATAAGAGCACAACAGTATTACCCCGGATAACCCTGTATGTAAGGCGCTAAAGTTCCAGTCATATGACTTATCCCACCGGGTACCCATTTTCTGCTGGGCGAACAGAGGCATTTTTAACAAACTCACTTGCCTAAAGTGAGACCACTAACATGTGTTTCGTTGTGGAAACTGGAAACTCTCAGGAGTCAAGCTGCCAAACACGGTCATCCATCCATGGACATCCGCGCCCAGCGTTGCTTAATTCCACCTGGTTTGTGTATCTATCCCGGTCTACACCCGGTAACATGAATCGGTTTAAGCTGCATCTATCCCTCTACACCCGGTAACATGAGTCAGTTTTAACTGCATCTATCCCTCTACACCCGGTAACATGAGTCAGTTTTAACTGCATCTATCCCTCTACATCCGGTAACATGAGTCGGTTTTAACTGCATCTATCCCTCTACATCCGGTAACATGAGTTTTAAGTTTTAACTGCACCCATCCCTCTACACCCGGTAACATGAGTCGGTTTTAGCTGCACCTACATCCCTCTACACCCGGTTACATGAGTCAGTTTTGAGTCGGTGCATCTATCCCTCTACACCCGGTAACATGAATCGGTTTTAGCTGCACCCATCCCTCTACACCCGGTAACATGAGTAAGTTTTAGCTGCATCTATCCCTCTACACCCGGTAACATGAGTCGGTTTTAGCTGCATCTATCCCTCTACACCCGGTAATATGAGTCAGTTTTAGCTGCATCTATCCCTCTACACCCGGTAACATTAGTCGGTTTAAGCTGCATCTATCCCTCTACACCCGGTAACATGAGTAAGTTTTAACTGCATCTATCCCTCTACACCCGGTAACATTAGTCGGTTTTAGCTCCACCCACCCCTCTACACCCGGTAACATGAGTCAGGTGTAGATGAACCCATCTGTCTCCACCGCCAACATGATTCTGTGTTAGTTCTACCCGCCAAAGAGGGTAACATGTTTACAATCTGAGGTGGTGAAATATTACATACGTATACACTGGGGTTTGGGTGGACATGGCAACGTGTCACAGGCGGTCTGCACGAGGCGACATTCCTCACCAGGACTGCATCCTCTACCCTACAATACAAGGTGCATATATTGACATGATGTTGACAGGATACCGACGCTGCCTTGAATACAAGGGTCATGTAAACACAGGCTATTGATAAGATATTGACACTGTGTTAAATACAAGGCGCATATATTGACATGATATTGACAGGATACTGACGCTGCCTTGAATACAAGGGTCATGTAAACACAGGCTATTGATAAGATATTGACACTGTGTTAAATACAAGGTGCATATATTGACATGATGTTGACAGGATACTGAACGCTGCCTTGAATACAAGGGCAGTAAATACAGGCTATTGATAAGATATTGACACTGTGTTAAATACAAGGTGCATGTATTGACATGTTGTTGACAGGATACTGACGCTGCCTTGAATACGAGGTGCATGTATTGTCAGGATATTGATACTGTGATGAATACAAGGTGCATGTATTGACATGATATTGACACTGTGATGAATACAAGGTGCATGTATTGACGGATATTGATACTTGATGAATACAAGGTGCATGTATTGACAGGATATTGATACTGTGATGAATACAAGGTGCATGTATTGTCAGGATATTGATACTGTGATGAATACAAGGTGCATGTATTGTCAGGATATTGATACTGTGATGAATACAAGGTGCATGTATTGTCAGGATATTGACACTGTGATGAAATACAAGGTGCATGTATTGACAGGATATTGACACTGTGATACAAGATATACAAGGTGCATGTATTGTATTGTCAGGATATTGACACTGTGATGAATACAAGGTGCATGTATTGACAGGATATTGATACTGTGATTAAATACAAGGTGCATGTATTGTCAGGATATTGACACTGTGATGAATACAAGGTGCATGTATTGACAGGATATTGACACTGTGATGAATACAAGGTGCATGTATTGTCAGGATATTGATACTGTGATGAATACAAAGGTGCATGTATATTGGTGCATGTGATTATATTGACACTGTGATTACAAGATATATTGACAGGATGACTACAAGGTGCATGTATTGTCAGGATATTGACACTGTGATGAATACAAGGTGCATGTATTGACAGGATATTGACACTGTGATGAATACAAGGTGCATATATTGACAGGATATTGACACTGTGATGAATACAAGGTGCAAGGTTGACATATACTGACACTGACAGGATATTGACACTGTGATGAATACAAGGTGCATGTATTGACAGGATATTGACACTGTGTTAAATACAAGGTGCATGTATTGACAGGATATTGACACTGTGTTAAATACAAGGTGCATGTATTGACAGGATATTGACACTGTGTTAAATACAAGGTGTGTGTATTGACAGGATATTGACACTGTGATGAATACAAGGTGCATATATTGACAGGATATTGACACTGTGTTAAATACAAGGTGTGTGTATTGACAGGATATTGACACTGTGTTAAATACAAGGTGTGTGTATTGACAGGATATTGACACTGTTAGGCACGTTGGCGCTTGTCGACTTCCAAAGTGAGACAGTACAATAACCCGGAAACACATAACCAAAGGATTTTAACAAGTATACCTAACAAGATATAGGAAAAACACGTTGTACAATTTACATGTGTAGCATGAAATTAACACGGTTTAGAATTGCCATGAACTGACTGTAAAGTAACAGCAACACACACAGGAGTGGAGATGCAGTGGCAGTGCAGGTACAGTATGGCATTACATGCAATGAGGTGCATCGAGAGGCCGTATCTTGACAGTGGGTAAATGTTAACTTATCTTACATCAACTGGTAATGTCAAACATCCTCTGTGACACCACCGTGTAAACACTAGGAAGTATGGTAAGGGATTCCGGAACCATACCATGAGTTCCTCAATGCTGGGTATTTGACATATTTGAATTGTAAATGACGTCTAACTTTGTTAGATATGCTTGAAAACGACGGCGGTGGTTGTATTTCGATTCAAGCGGCCACCGCAGTACTACTTCCTCATCTATGATGGACTGAATAAAACTATGCAAACATTAAAGTTTGCTTGCGACTTTAAGCCGCCTACTTGCAAAACACTTAGACCGTGTGGAGGGATGAACTGGCACACCCTGTACTGACAGGCCACAAAGCTTGAGCTACCACTCACAGAAAGTCTGTGAATATGTGGATACAAATAACTGAGGCCTTACAATGTTCGGATATATACCTGTTACAGGAAATAGACGTGATGTGAACAGACAAATATACTTGTTACAGGAAATAGACGTGATGTGAACAGACAAATATACCTGTTCCAGGAAATATACGTGATGTGAACAGACAAATATACCAGTTCCAGGAAATATACGTGATGTTAACAGACAACTTTACACTGACACTCTTTTGTCGTGAGTTCTGTGTTCAAAGTGAACTTTGCGATCCGTCAGATTTCACTCGGGTTACATTGCGCTAGACATGACCGATCAATGTATAATATGGTAATTTAAGATTCATTAATTAGGAGAGAAAACGGAATTATTAAAATGAATATCACGCATTCTCAGTGAGTGGACCATTGTGATTGGTTTTGTTGTCATATTGCTGACTTCTGATTGGCTCAGCCTGGCACTTACCTCAGCCTCTTGCTGTCTGCAAGGGTCACTGAGTTGTTGCTGTGCAGCCACTGTCAGCGCTAGACACACCTGGAAAGGTAATAGACTATTACTGAAATATGGAACACAGCTCAGCCGATACTACGTATACATTCGTTATTCCGCGGCAGAGAATATGTAGACCCGCTCCACAAGCCTTCCATGTCGAGTTGATGACTCTACGAGTTAACGATCCGCTGCTGATACCGATGCTCATGGTGGGCACACAAAATATCAAGTATGTGATGTTGCTTCCTGACTCCTACTTTCTTTTGGACTATCGTATTTGTGACCTCAATGGCATGGACATTACATGTCTTGTACTGCCGCCTTCGTAAGAACACAATTAAAGTATTCATAATTTGTCACTGTTGTATATTTTCAAATGTTAAAAGCGTTTGAACGATGCACAGTTTCTAAAATGGCTGGTATATATCGTCCCAGATCAAATATAAACGTTTAGTTTGAAAACTTTATAGCCGTAGCTGTATGCTACTTCCAGATTCAGGAGATAACCATCATGTGTTGCCCAATGCCCGGATGTTATTGAGTATATATTTGAAGCACGGGAATTCATTTGGAAGCGACGGCGTTAGCCGGAGGTTTCAAATGAAATATTCCCGTGCTTCAAATACTCAATTTACTCTAGTTACAGTTGTGCAGCTATCTGGCATTGTTTTACAAATAGCTAACATTGCCATGCATGGTTTTTCTTCAATGCTTTTTCACTGACCAAACAAACCAAAACAACCGATTAATAACACATAAACCTCTTCCAGGAACTTACTCCATAGTCGTTCTTCTAGTCACTTGTCACAGGAGACACATCCGTTAATTGCGCTGATGGATGAAACTTGTACATGGTTCAAAATGTGGACACATTATCTTTTTGCATCCATTAAAAACGATACAAAATACCTTTACGACATATATTCATATCAAAGTTCATATATCCTTCACAAAATATATCACAAACATCATTATTTCTGCTACATTCGCTATAACCAAACCACCTTGCTTAAATGACTAATTGCACACTACTTGCAACAACAATCAGTTATAAACGGATTTAGTGAGAGCGGATGTATACCACACAAACATACAGCCAAGCTGGCTGCAGGTTCACGTGGACCAAGTGGTGTTACATAGCATTTATACCACAACATGCTATCGATAATTGAAAAAGTGTTCACTGAAACACTGGCTGGAAGACTACAGTGGTCCAGTGACAATGGTATTACACATGAAAATCAAACTGGATTCAGGAAAGGACGTTATGCAACTGCAGACAAAATCAGGAATCATCTGTCAAAGTCGGGTGAACGATTCTTTGCTTTTTATCATATTTCTAAAAGTTTATGACCGTGTTCAATATTCACATTTATAACATTTGAGTTGAGAGAGAGAGCGAGACCCAGAAAAGAGTATAGGGACACTTGCACTTTCGCACATACACACACGCACTCACTACAGTGTTCCTGTCACTCAGCATTAGACAATGATTTACTGACCGTCAAAGTAGAGGCTCTGATGAAGCCCATGCTGAAGACGACTGCGACCACAGGTTTGTATGACGGACACTTTACAACAGACGATTCTAACAGTACACCAAGTACTTCTGTTCGCTCTACCTGCACTTCTCCCACGTTTATAGGGGTGGCCTGCACAGCTCACGTCGTACACGGCCAATGAGAGACTGACATTCACGTCGCTGTAGGTCAAGGGGCCATTCTCAACTATGACATTTGGATCTTCTTGAATGGAGGTTTTGTCCTGGTAGTTGACAAGCATTTATACCCTGTGGGGTAGCGTATACACGGTGTTGACGACCGACTCTGGTCTATGTACCCGGGACCTGACGCCCGAGATTACCAGCCTCATGACATTGTCAGTACAGGCTAGTTGTGTGTGTGCGTGCGTGCGTGCGTGCGTGCGTTTGTGCGTGCGTACGTGCTTGGATGACAACAGGACACAATACTGTCTTGTACAATGGTGTAAGTGATAATACAAAATAATTATCCTCATCCACTGTGACACCGATGGAAGTGTCACTTTGTCTTCATGTCGTCATTAACACTAACAAACACAATAACAGTATTCAATCATGTCGTCTCACAAACTGTCATGCTCGTTTGTTCACACGATTATATTCGAGGATTGGCTGAAATGTTTTAGTCCCATATGATTAAATAACAATGAAACATTGGTTAGCCAAGTGGTCAACCCCACAGCATGCACCGTTACACATTGTCTTACAGACATATTCACGAGGACTTGTGTCAGCTAAGTAAATTGTTTCGATCTGAAATTTCAGTAAAAGGGGCACAAATCATCACACAGAAACAATTCCATCAATATGACTCTATCATAATGTACTCTCCTCAACAAACGACTGGAAAGAGACTGTTAACGGAAAATACTGAAGCACCATGTGACCCGTGATTCACTGCATCTACTGCGCTTTGCAGAAAGACACCCAGTTACCAAAATAATATAGTATACAGCGCTTTATTGTTTTTAGATGTACACAGTATTTACCAGATGTGACCATGGTTACATTTTTGGTGAAGTACACGAAGAGAAAATATGTACATCTTCAAGGAGCATCCTCCTGAAAGTCACTGCATAAACCCTCAGCACCTTCTGTATCCCAGATGTGTTACATCCAATGCGGAGTGTTGGAAGTGTTTTCATTGCGCAGCGATCACTGCCAAATACTCTTGTAGTCCAAGTGTGATTTGAATGAAAATTACAATACAATGGTGCCTTAGCTGACGAAAATGTGCCCATCTTAGAATGTACAGTTTATTAACCTTTGCATGAAACGGTGTGCAGATACACATCTCCTGTCATCTTCCTACGAAGATGTCACTGTTACACGCATTCCTTCTACGTGAGGCTTGTAATTCTCACTCTACCTTTGAGTGTAGCCATGGAGAAGAGAGAACAACTACATCGAGGAAGAAATACAATTTGCTTACTTTATTGACCGCTTACATTTATACGATGTACATTTGGATCTCTGTGCACAGTGAAGCAGGTTCCCCACTGTACACTCGATACATGCATTGCCAGTCGCTGAGAAAGTACTTCAACAACACATACATGTTTTCTAACTGTATTATGCATCAACAAACATGCCCTGTACAGCGTCAACAGAGTAGCAATGGTTAAGACAATAAAGTCAGTGATGATAATATTGACCAAGCAACAATGGGAGGCTTCCAAAAGAGGCCTAAGTTCCATAGTGTGGCGTGAGCCAAGTACTTGACACTAAGTATACTGGAGGCAGAAATAGCTTAACTCGTCACAGATAGACATCATCTTGGCATCTTCTGCAGGTAGGTTAGAGGTGATGGGAAAGTCCACCATCAGCACCAACAGGTAGTTATGCCAGCAGTGTACCGCCAGTTACTTCATCTCCTTATATTTAACATTGACTGATCGAACATGAGACGTGATTCTTACCTTCATTCAGCGGACATTTGTAGATATTGATAGAGTGTGGCCGGAAACCAGGGACAGAGGCTCTCGCGAGGCTCTCACTCCCGCCGGCCATGTAGTATGTTCGGTCACATAATATTATATATACATGTGACAAATTAGATTTCAATAATCTCAGAATACGGTGTAAGCGACTGACTAGATTTGATAGGCTTTCCAATATAGGGAGTGTTTGTCTCAAATACGCCTCACATCAATGTTTATAATGTGGAAGTCAGTAAAACATCGATGTTTATAATGTGGAAGTCAGTAAAACATCGATGTTTATAATGTCTGACTGACTGAGTTTGGTTTTACGCCGCTTTTAGTGTTTATAATGTGGAAGTCAGTAAAACATAAATGTTTATAATGTGGAAGTCAGTAAAACATCGATGTTTATAATGTGGAAGTCAGTAAAACATCGATGTTTATAATGTTGAAGTCAGTAAAACATCAATGTTTATAATGTGGAAGTCAGTAAAACATCAATGTTTATAATGTGGAAGTCAGTAAAAACCAATGTTTATAATGTGGAAGTCAGTAAAACATCAGTGTTTATAATGTGGAAGTCAGTAAAACATCAGTGTTTATAATGTGGAAGTCAGTAAAACATGTGTAAAGCAAATTCAACACTGAACTCATCACGTCAAGAATGAGACGCAGTCTCACCATAAAGGTGCTGTGTTTATGTAGATAGATGGACGGACGGACGGATGGATGGATGCACGTCGTGAAGTTTGCTTTACATTTTCTCCCTGAGCTGCGGGTGTACTGACGTTTAACCTCCATATTTTCCAGCGGAACTGAATGTATTAGGGGACTTTATATAAATGTTTTAAGAAATTATTTCAAGGAAATAATTTTGAACATCTGTTTTTGCATGTTGTATGTGGCATCAGCTGTCACCTATAAACGATGAACACACTCCAACTCTCACTCGTTTGAGGCCATACACCAACAGTTCCATTCCTGGAGCTTCATCACGTCTGTTTCTACAACGGTCTTTTCTTAATACTTATCAGTGCCATTTCGGAATATAAAAGCAAACTAAACATATATAGCTATTATTTGTACATGCACGTCATCGGTAACTGAGTGCGGCGTTAAATAACAAATAAACAAACATTGTTAAATCATGAACAGTGGATGTCGCCGATGCTTCAGTATTCTGTTCAGGCAAGATAAGAGTGAGTGAGTGAGTTTAGTTTTACGCCGCTTTTAGCAATATTCCAGCAATATCACGGCGGGGGACACCAGAAATGGGCTTCACACATAGTACCCATGTGGGGAATCGAACCCGGGTTTTCAGCATGACGAGCCAACGCTTTAACCTTGGCTACCCCGCAGCCCCGGGCAAGATAAGTAGAGTGAGTGACAGGGAGAAGCTAATAACGGATTGAGAACTTTTTCCCGCGACGACAACGACAAAGCCCAGGGTTTACACTGTACAAATACAATTCCCGACTAATTACTGCTGAAGTTCCGGGTTTACGTATGAGTAACCTTAGGTGACCTTGTCTGTTAGCCATTGGTTGAAAACCGTGACGTCACGGTAACCATGGGCGAATCACAAGACATGGACGGCCATTGACATTCTTCCCACATATCAACAGATGACGACAGCCGGACGTAACGGTGGGGTGGTGGGGGACGTGCTACACAATTGTTCACCTGGAACAACTGGGGTATATGGGATCAGTCAGGAAAGGGACTTGCACCGGAATAATTCATATGTATAAAGAAACAGGGATGCCTACCTCTTTTTTGAATGGTTTACCGCCATCCAAAACATGTCATGTTGCAATCAGACATCGCCAAGTTTGGTATATGGATGAAGTATTGAGAGGCAAATTAGACGCAATCAGCTATCAGTTTACAAACAGCTGGACTCAACACAAAGTGATGCTGTGAATTTCTATCAGTGTTCGATATTCGCGTCCACGGTCTGTATTGCAGTTTTATAGTGGCGTTTTGACGTGAACGACTTGTGCCCAATACATTAGACCGTTTATGTCAACAAAATATGCTTCAAAACTTTATAAACAAAACAGTGGGTTCACTGGAACGGAAGCATCTGTACAGAGACCGGGACATCCTGGAAGGAGGCAGGAGAGGCACCTCGTTAACCTCGATCTGTTCAAGCTCTAGGACGTGACCTTTATAGCATCCAGTGTACACTGTAGTGAAAGCGAAGCAATACGAACCTTACTGCGGTCTGCTGGCCCCAGACGAGCAGATTCAGTCTTTTATTCCATCTTTCATGGCCGTAGACGTGTTCCGGAAGGCAAACTGAAGGTTTTAAAGATGCCACTGCGGTTGCTCATAGTGGAGGTTCCATTCTGATGTCAGGCGGCAGATTAGCGACGGACGGATGGTCAGCGACGGACGGATGGTCAGCGACGGACGGATGGTCAGCGACGGACGGATCGTCAGTGCACAATCTAACAAGATTTTAACCCCATTGTGGTGAGATAGGACGCAGTGAACGTGAGGGGTTCGACCTCCCCCACCCCCTCTCCCCAAGACGGCATTGAAATTAATGCTGCCGTATTGCCGGAGCGCACCAGCCCACCAGTGCTATCATGAAACTGCTCCCAACTACCTCAATGAGTTGGTGACCAAAGAGAGCCTTACGATCAGCTGATCAACATATATTGGTCGTCCCAAGACGTAAACTAAACGCCTTTGGTTTCCGCTCCTTTAGTTGCCAGCTGCCACGCGAACTCAGACAAACAACATCCATTGATTCCTTCCAATGTGCCTTAAAAACACTTCTCTGTAGAAAATACTACACTGACTAACAAACATACAAACCTCAAAAGATTCAACTATTTTATGTACAAATGTTTTATGTCTTGTAGCCCTCCAATCACCTTTATATGTAGCGCTTTGAGCATACATTTTTGTATGGAATCCAGCGCGGTATATATACACATAATTATTATTATTACTTTCTGTACTGTTGCCTTTTCCTAACCTCACCGTTATCATTGCGCTATTTACTGATTACTGACAGCTTGCAGCAGTTTGTAGTAAGCCTCTGTTGTCAACAAGCCGCGGAAACGAGCGCAAACCGATGAATAGAAATACCACCTTCAATGTCAATCAATGAAGTTTGAAGATAACGTCGATATCTTGCAATTTATTCCCATGTCACATCACGACATATTTCAGAAGGAAACAAAAGTCTTTCGAACTTAGAAGACAAACTAAATCAAGATCTATCTCGGAAAAGCAAAATAATTGAAGAAAAAAATAAACATATTCAGGACTTAAATCAGCGCTTACAAGATTCAGAAGCTAGAAGG